TCGGAGGTGGCAGCTGGCCGAGGCGATCGATGGTGCTCCGACTCCCCCTGATGACGAGGACGGTGGTCGTTTATCCAAGTCTTCGAGGACCACGGATCCCGACGCGGAGCTCAGAGCCTACGTGGTGAGCGCCAAGCAAGCCATGGAAGGAGCCGTGGCCGCTCTTCAGCACCAGGTCGGCACGATGTCATCGCAGATCGCCGCGCTGGGAACCACATTCACAACATCTACCGGGCAGATTCAGGCCACCATCGAGAGGATAGATAGTTTCGAGCGTGGAGGGCACAGTGGCTGGACACACAGCCGAGATCCAGTAGCTCCAGCAGGAAATGGCAGCAGTGCGGCGACAGCTTGGAGACATCAAAGATGAACGGCCAGTTCCTCCTATCATCGACCCAGCCTTCGACAGGGAGATCGACGAGACGATTCTGGTGGTCAGGTCCAAGGGCATGCTGGCAAAGCGAGACATGCTGGCGACGGTCGGACCATGGCTTGAGCGGAACAATATCACGACCGCGAACATTCACATAGACGCAAAGCTTGTCGGGAAGCGCTTCACGATACGAGCAGTGGGGGCCTCTGCGTACGCTGCACGGAAGGTGTCACAGATGCTGGGGAGTCCCAGGAAGGTGGACGGCAGCTACGAGAAGCTCGAGTGCTCTGACGTGGACAGAGCACGACACGATGTATGTGTTTCAGGCGACAAGAATACGGAGATGGTCAAGAAGGAAATCCCCATCAAGAAGGCTCGCTCTGTTCTCGGGCGTGTTCAGCCGAACGCCCGCATTTTTTGAGACAAGCAGAATGGGGAGCTCAGTGCCAGCTGGGTCCCGTTGCTCAAGATCCAGCCTCGCCCAGGAGATAAGGAGCCTGCTGCACAGTTCGCGTCGGAGAACCTCACCGCCCAGGGCTTCGACATCGAGAGGGTTCGGGGCAGCATCGCCTCAGAGTTTGCCTGCCCGACTGCGTCTGTCGCGCGGAGTCTTTAACCCGTTTTTTGCCAGCTGGCGAGGGAAGGAGAAGTGGAAACTATCTCTGACCGCGTGGAATGCCAGGCCTCTGTTGCATCACGAACTGTCGACTCGGATTCGGAGGGCTCGATTTCTTCGGTCGTTTCCGGTGCCAGGGGCGGTTGTGGCGGTTCAGGAAACACGGGTCAGAAATGGAAGTGCGCGAGCTATTGTATCACGCGTACAAGGAGTTCTGCGCCGCAGTCAGCTTCCGTAGCACGCCGAACGCGGGAGGGGCGATCATTTTCTTCCCGAAGTTGCTGCAGGGAGTTTTCTCAATGTGCGCATTGAGTTCAAAACGGGAGTCTGGATCAGCCAGTATAACATGCATAACTTCAGCCTCTCGGCCGCCCGGGAGACCATTATCTCGGAGCAAATCAATCTTGACAAAACGAATGCGAAACGCGTCCCCGAGACCATGCTCGTAGTTGTGACTGGCGATTTTAATTTTGCCGACCAGCTGCCGCGCACAGAGGACGTCGGGGGGCCAGAGATTACCCGCGGGAGCCCCGAGGGCCAGGGCACCAGGAAACTCAGCTTCGTGAAAGAATACAGGGAGGGACAGGATCGCATCCTGATGTGGCCCTTGCGGGGCCTAGTCGAACTTCGAGTTCCAGAACCGACGTACTTCTGTGTGAGGATCAGGCCCCTGTCGGCGCTCGATCGGGTCTTCGTCAGCTTTGAGGGCTGGATCCTCGCGCAGCTGATCACGACTGGGGAAGTGCGGAAGCCTCCAGAGGCTCTGCGCCGCGAGGGCATCAGCGACCATGCCCCTTTGTCAGCGTCGTTCTCCAGCGGTCTCCCAAGACGTCAGGGGGAAGCATGCCAGAGTATCCCAGTTGAAGTTTGCACGCGTCCGAAATACACGGAAGTTTTGAAACGACTGAATTTCGAGAAGGGTGACGTCGATGAGCCCCCCTCTTCGCAATGGACTTCGCCGAGAAAATGATGCAGGAGGCCGCTCGAATCGCCGGGAATTTGCTTCTGCGGAACTCGCCCAACACTCTCTTGTCCAAATGCATCGCGGTCAAACGTAGTGCTAGAGCTGTCTGGAGGCAAGACATCAAATTGGGAGAGAAGGTATGGTCGAGTTCCGAGCTAGGTAGGCAACGCTTGTGCGTCGACGCCGCGGAGGGGAAGGTCGCGCTCATCGATGCTAGCGAGTTCGCCGCGACGATGGGCGAGATCTCGAGAGGGATGGCGAACGGGAGTGAGGCGATGACGAATAAGGAGATCGACGCGGCGACGAACGAGTTCACCAGGGACGAACTGCGACGACAATTAACAGGACAGATCGCACGCGGCAAACTCCGGGCACCCTTTGGCAGGCGAGTGACCCTGCGAGGCCTCGAGTTCGACGGCGGAGCCGTCGCTCGCGAATCTGGCCGGGCCCTGCAGCTGCTCGGCCAGCGCTGGGGCGCGGTCTCCAGCCAGAAGAAAAAAGTAGACCCGAACGAGATCACTCCATACTTGGATAGATACGGGCCCACTGTATCCTTGAAGGACTTCCCGCCGCCCACGTTAGCTAACATTCAAAACTTTCTCAATGCGGCCGAGACCGGCGACCCTGGCCCCGACGGACTCATCTACGCGGCGTGGAACTACAGCTCTCTCGGTGCTAAAGTTCTAGACAAGGCCCTATGGTGGCTCGCGCAGGGCAACGCGTTAGTTCCAGAGTTTAACAGGTGGTGGATGAGGAGGAAGTTCTTCGAGCAGCAGGAGAAACTGGCCCTTGGGTCTCAAGCATACCCCGGACAAGATCCCCGCGTGGCTCTCCGACCCCAGCGGCGGGAGGTGCCGATCCCAGCGGCGAAGGCCTGCGCGGACGACATAGGTGCAGTCACAACAGAGCTCAGACAGTGGCAGAGGATGAAAGCAGCACTCGACAACAGCGAACGACTTGCCATCTGATGTTGGAAACCAGCAGCTGTGTCATAGTTCCGCTTGCAGATGCATGTTCCCTTCTGCTGCAGTATAGATGTGAGGTGTGCATTAAGAAATGCATCCCGCAGTGGACGGGCTTTCTGTTGCGATGCCAACCTGTCTTGGGTGGATCTCGGGCCCTGGCGCCCCCTTCCGAGGCTCGGCGAAGGCCCGTTCAGAAATGGCGCGGGCGCGCGGCGCGCATTGGGGGGGATAACATGCCCACCGCCGTAGCTGAGTGCTTGCATAGTTTTTTTGTTTAAGCCACTCCCACGTTACCGCATGTCGCTGCCCCGTTCCATCCCAGGTGTCCCCTCTCTTCCTCGCCTCGAGCATGCCTCCCTCGCCTCCGTCTTCTCGTTGCCTACCTGCGCGCTGTCCTTATCTTTTTTGATTGAACTGAAAGAATGGGGCGGTCCGAAGCATAATAGTATCGAAGTCGCTTGTGCATCTGCTCTTGCGCGGTCGGCGTGGGCCACCCTGCCTGAGTGGAGAGTGCTGCTGCGCATGTTGAAAGAAGAACCGATGCGAAGTTTATCGCTTCTAGAAATCGGCTCGAAACAGTGGTTCCCCAGTTTCTGGCGAGGTCCAGCTTTTGTCGAGCAACTCGAAAAGGCTTCGCTAGGCTGTCCTAAGACGAAGCATCTGCACCGGGCCAGCAATGATGCTGTCAAGAGAACCCGTGAGTTGTTGGCCGCTCTCCGACCGTCGGGGAAGAAAAAAGGTCGAGCTTCAGGGAACGATCCCTTCCTTGCTGAATAATGCGGTTTTGAAGAGTCTCTCATCAGAGACTGGAGGGAGCTCTAGCTGAGGTACTCCCCTGAGCGACATCGAGCTCTAACCAGTGTGAAATGGCCCAGAGTACAGAGCGAATTGCTTAATTTTCCGCCCGCGATGAGATCGGCCTTCCTCAGAACCTTGAGTGGGGCTTGGACCACAAGTTTCAAAATGCACGAGAATGAGCTTAAAACATGTTGTTTCGGCTGTCTCAACGCACGCGATACGTTCGTACATGATCGGTGCTGCCCACGTTTGCGGGGGCTTGTCACTGAACTGATGCAGGTCTTTTTCATCCCTGAGTGTCCCATCCGCCGCCTTGGTCTCCTCTCGCCCTCGTCTGAACCCCCTCTCGTTCTCCCCATTTGTGCGCATTTCATCTTCATTCGTGTTGCCCCTCTACCCGCGCCAGCGCCGTACGAATGCGCTGCTCAACCTTTTCCAGCATTGCAGGCGCAATTGAAGCGCCGTGCAGTTCGTCGGCGAGTGGATTGAGGAGCTCAGGTCCGCAGCGACGTGCCCAGGAGGAGGAGGAGGAGGAGGAGGAGGAGGAGGAGGAAGCGACGCCCCACCGCCTTGTTGGAAAAACCTGCCCCCTCTCCTTTCCCGCTTCGGCGCGCCGCTGACAGGGGGAGGGGGCGACGCGCAGAGGGGGAGGGGAAAGAACCGCGGGGGGAGGGACAAGAGACTGCGACATCCGTCGGTGCTGGTGAACCACAATCGTGAAGAGCCCCGGACGCGCCCGTCTGCCTCGATGCTTCAGCCGGGTCCGAGCGCGAGGGTCCCGGGGCCCGAGACGGAGCAGAGATATCGGCTGCGGTCTTCTGAAGATGCGGGGATGGAGGGACGGATGGAAAGAGGAACGCGCGGACGGCAACGGGGGGGATCGAGGATTGCAGGGACGTGGCCCTTAAGGAGGCCCAAACGGCCCCCGAGCTGCCGCAGCGGGCCCCGAGGATGCACGACAGGCGCACCCTCTTCGTTCACCCATTCCCACCGCCCACCAAACCACCCCACCCCAAAACGAAGGCCCCGATTTGCCCAGCACTTCCAGTGGGGGGGGGGGTCGGGGAACATTGAAAAAACACGCGTGGAACCCGTACCCCCCCCCCCAACCCGAAATTCGGGTCTTCGGGTTAGGTTGGGGTGGTCTGGTAGGTCGTCACAGTTACCCCACGTTTGTCCCCCCCCTTCCGTTCGCGCACACCCGAGAGGAGCGATGCAGAGAGGGCTCCTCGGCGGATCGTGCGGGCCCGGCGCCGCCAGGCCTACACCTCCATTCTGCCAGGGATGGGCCGGGAGGAGCTGGCGGCCGCATACGGCGTCCCCGAGATCATCGAGGCCCCTCGCCCCGTCCTCGTCGTCGTCGTAGTCGTCGTCGTCGTCGTCGGCGTCGGCGTCGTTTTTCCCTACCTAGGCTCTGCCTAGAAGGGTTCTTACTCTCTAGCTTAAAGGGGCCGGGCAGTGGAAAGCGCCCCGGGCGGTTCCCCCAGTCCCCTGGGAGCGGTTCCCCCCAGTCCCCTGGGAGCTTTAGCTTTAGCTTTAGCTTTAACTGTAGCTTTAGCTTTAGCTTTAGCTTAGCCTTAGCTTAGCTTTAGCTTAGCTGTAGCTTAGCTTTAGCTTAGCGGTTCGCTTAGCTTTTCGCTTAGCGTTTAGCTTAGCTTTCGCTTAGATTTAGCTTAGCTTTAGCTTAGCTTGAGCTTAGCTTGAGCTTAGCTGTAGCTTAGCTTTAGCTTAGATTTAGCTTAGCTTTAGCTTAAATTTAGCTTAGCTTTAGCTTAGCTGTAGCTTAGCTTTAGCTTAGCTGTTGCTCAGCTCTAGCTTAGCTTTAGCTTAGCTTTAGCTTAGCGTTAGCTTAGCTGTAGCTTAGCTTTAGCTTAGCTTTAGCTTAGCTTTAGCTTAGCCTCAGCTTAGCTTTAGCTTAACGTTAGCTTAGATGTAGCTTAGTTTTAGCTTAGCTTCAGCTTAGCTTTAGCTTAGCTTTAGCTTAGCGTTACTGTCACTACTAATGCTGCTTTCCTAGGGGTTCCAAGATACGTTGTTTTTGTTTTGAGGACTCCCTCGAAGAAAGCTACCCTCGGGCTGGCTGGCAACCCGCCAGGCACGCCCTTATCCTCGTAGTCCTCGTCGCCGTCCTCCCTCCTTCCCTTACTCCCTCTCTCTTCGTCCTCCTTTTCTGCGATGAGCGGACATGAAGTGCTATGCTTGCTGCGTCCTGTCCGCGCGAGAGGCCTCGTCTTCGTCATCCTGCTCCTCCTGCTCCTCTTGCTCCTCTTGCTCCTCCTTCTCCTTCTCCTCCTCCTCCTCCTCCTCCTCCTCCTCCTCCTCCCTCCTGCCTGGCGTGCCGTCCCCCGTCCTCATCCTGCTCTTCCCCCTCCCCCCCCTCCCCGGCCCCGCCCCCCCTCCCCGCAGGCGGACCGGGAGCTGGTGGAGAGCGGGTGCGAGGAGATGCTCGTGCGGGCGCAGGACCACGAGGCGCTGTGGCCGCGCACGAGGATCGGGACGATCGAGATGGGTACGGAAAAGGGGGGGCACGAAGACCGACAGCAGCTCCTGTGCATCTGGGCCTCCTAGATGGGGTCGGGGCAGATGGGGTCGGAGGATCACTCCGCATCGCCGATGCATCGACGATGCGGCTCGATGCAGGGCCCAGTTTTCTCCACGCCAACGTCGCCGATGCATGCATCGCCGACGTCGCCTACGCATCGCCGATGCATTGGCGATGTATCGCCGATGTACCGCCGATGCGGCGCGATCCTTCGACCCCATCTACTCTACTCGGACCCCATCTAGGAGGCCTCCAGTTCATTCGAGACAGGATGCGCCTGCCGAAAAGCGGCCGCTGCCGGGTTTAGACAACTGCTGCTGTTTGGCATCGTACCCGTTTGTTTCGTACCCACTTCAGGCCTCCGAGGAGGAGGAGGAGGAGGGGGAGGAGGATCTGGTGCTCGTTGGGGGAACCCGCCTGGGGCCTACCTGACAGACCTGTTCGATTCTAGTCTGGCTCTAGTTCGGCTCTAGTTCGACTCAAGGTCGGCTCAAGGTCCACTCGGGTCGGCGAGCGTTCGAAGCAGCATCGACGTAGGAGTGGTGCGAGCGGCTTTGGAAGAAGGTCCCGAAAAGGAGCATCCAAGGAGGGGGAAAGGGGGGACGGAGAAGCAGGGAGGGGGAAGGAGGCGGAGGGGTAGCTTGATATCTATCGTATTCTGTGTGTGTTTTGCAGCAGGGGCCACCAGGAAAGCGATCGCCGCGTGCGTTTCTATAAGTTCTCTTGAGGCTTGGCGGGGCCTCCATGAGTTTGCGCCGTCTGTGGCTAGACAGAGCCAGCCATTGGGGTTCATTACATGTTCCTTCTGGCCGCGCTTATGGCAGCGACTGGAGCCTGCTTGCGAACGGAAGCAAACACATCTCATTTCATGAGTGTTTCTTGCGATGTGTCTCTCCCTGAGGTCCGTGCAACGGTCATGGTCACATTATTTGATCTCTGTGAAACTTCAACAGCTGCCAAAGCCTCCAGGCTGGCCAGATGGGGTCGAAGTAGATGGGGTCGCAGGACCGCGCCGCATCGCCGATGCAATGGTGATGCCGAGCGATGCCGAGCGATGCGGAGTGCGATCAACCGATTTCGCGAAGCCTCCAGAGGAGGACGGGCAGGACGACGAGGGGGAATGAAGAGGGGAAGGGGGTGACATTCTTGGCCGTCTGAGGGCCTCCGGGGGGGGCCCTCGCTGTTACGGCTGGATCTGCCCCGACGTCCTGGTCAGAACGCGATCCAGGACATGCCCCAGGATCAGATTTGTGGTGGAACAGGTCCACCCTTGGACCCACTTGGTCGGCCTCGCAGGCCGTCGAAGCCTCCCCCCTCCTCGCCCCGGCTCTGCGGCGAGTCGCTGGCGCGATACGCCGCGGAAGTTTCGTTTGCGGCGCCGTCGTCGGCACCCTTCCCCGTCGTCGTCGACGCGCTCGTCGTCGTCATCGACGCCCTCATCGTCGTCGTCGTCGTCGTCGTCGTCGTCGCCGCCGCCGCCGCCGCCGCTGGCCAAAGGTTGCGTTCCTCGTTGTCGGCGACGCGCTGTGCGCTGCGCCCTCGGGCGGCTTGCCGCGCGGCGGTCGATGGGGGGGGGATGGGCAGCCACTGGTGGCCGCAGAGGGCGTTCAGCTCGGAGGCAGAAAAAGAGGAAACCTATGGGCACGAGCTGAAACGAACGCTGTGAGGTTTATGCGTATGCCGCTTTTCCTCTTGACTTCGTTGCAGGCCCCCGCAGCCTGGCCAGTGCCCTCGGAGTCCAGTCCGATCCGATCCATCCGCTTCGATATCTGCCTCCAAGGGCCCTCGCCGGGCCGCAGGACCGTCAAAACACGACCCGGGGGCGAAGAACCGGCCTCAGGGACGTGGCCCAGACCTCATGGGGCCCGCGCACCAGCTAAAAATTGGAGCGGCCGGATGTCTGGGGAGAGTGGTCCGAGATCGGCTTTTGGGCGGCGGTTGGTGGGCCGGCCTGGTAAGGCCTTCGGGTTGCGCACACAGGGCGGTCTCGACATGCTGGATCTTGGGAGGGGGTCCTCGCCGTACCGGGAGGAAGAGGAAATGCAGGTGTAGAGCGAGAGGGGGGGGGGGGGAGACAGAGGAAGAGGGAAGCAGGGATCAGGGGACATGGCGAAGAGGAGATGGAGGAGAGAGGATGAGGTGATGGAGGAGGTCATTGAGGACGAGGAGGGGGAGGAGCAGAAGGAGGAGGAGGATGCCAGGATGACGAGGAGGAGGTGGGTGGCGTTGGAGGTTATCCCTCTTCTTCTCCTCGTTTCTCTCTCGCTCTCTCTCTCTCTCTCTATATATATATAGATATCTGTGTATATTTTGTTACCGATTGCTTTCCGTTCCCACTATAGGTCGCACGAGCGTTCTCATGATCGATCTGACTATCGATCTCATTGAATCGACTTCACCATTGGTCTCACGATTGACTCTGCACTCGTCCGCACTATCGATTCCATACTGTTACCTCTTGTGTTCTGTGCCCCGCCCGCCGGCTCTCTGGCAGGAGGGGTCGGGGGCGCCGCCTCTGATCGGGAGAACAGCCCGCATCACCGAGCCACCGAGGCGGAGGCGATGCAGGAGGATAGGGGAGGAGGGGGGAGTGGCTGGAGGAGCTGGAGGAGGAGGAGGTGGTGGAGGTGCGTGGAGGGAGGGATTCGGAAGAGGTGGAGGGTGGCGCTGGGGGGGGGAGGAGGCGGATGATGAGTGGATGGAGGGGGGTGAAGGGAGGCGGAGGGGGAGGCAGGGATGTGGAAGGTGAAGG